AGAGTTGGAATAAAAAGCGCTTTAAAGAAAGAGCAGAAATATTAGCCATTCCAAGTCCTCCTGATGCAGCCCAGTCAATGGAATATGACACAGTGAATTCTACCAGGGAAAGTAAAAGCAACAGCAGCGATGACGACCTCATTATCATAGATGATGGAGCTAATGAAGGATCCAGAGGCAGTATTTTTCATCACAGCCCCAAGCAGGAAAAAATAGAAACAATGGACTTCCTGAATCTCAGTTGTGCCAATAACATAATTGAAGAGAATGGTTCAAACAATACTGGCCCAATTCATCATGGTACTGCAGAAAAGTTACTTATTTCAGAAGGAACACAGACCAATGAACTTGCTGTTATAAAGAAAATTGAAATAGGTTCCAGTGGCACCAGGGAGCCCACAAACTCCCATTCTAACTTGAAATCTCAAGAAGATGTTTTAACACACAAAGCTAATGAGATTGATCCAAATACAACAAAGAATTATACTGCAGCCACCGTACACTTTCTGGAGAAACAACTGGATCAAGCAAGGAACTTGCTGGATGAAAGAACCACGGAAAGAGATTGTTTTAGAAAGGAAAGTGAGGAACAGGCCATCATAATAGAGCAAATAACAAAACAGCTGTTGGAGTACCAAGAAAATGAAAGACAACAAGTCCAAGCTACACTGAGAGCAAGTCTAATGGAAACTATAAATATTGTTGGACCTGAAGGCTGGAGCCTTGAGGAAATTAAGGCATATTATAAAAAAATAGTGCATGAACGTGATGACTTGGCCCAGCAGTTAGAAGATGCAGTAAAGAAGGTGGAAAACTGTTCATCAGAAAGTAAACAGTTGAAAGAACAAGTATGTATTTATTTGATTTGAGAGCAGAAAAACTGAAATGGAATATCTGATAGACAAACTGTTTTTATTTAATTATTTTTTCCTATTCAGCTTGAAGTTACTACCTCCTCTATCGCTATGAATCATCAGTCAAGAAGTCAAGATGCAAACTTGTTCCCAGGTCCCTTCTGCTGGCACAGTCCAAAGGAGATGCATGAGTGTGGCTCTTACTCACACTGTGATGAGGTTTCAGCCTCTGTCAGTCCTCTACTTTAAATCCCAGTTTAAATGCCCTGTTTAAATCAGGATCTCACTATTTTGGAACTTGTAGGAAAAATCCGCCTTGTGTATGCTGTAACATCAGATTTAGGGTCTCTTGCTGTGCAGTAGTAGTATCCTTAATCCTCAGCATGGAGACCTGGGTTCAAGTCCCTCCTGCCCCAGATATGTGTTGCAACATGTCCAAGCCAGTTGATTAAAGTAACTAGACACTTCAATCTAGACCAAGACTCCAAAAGAATCAAACAAAGAAAAATATTTGTAACCATCATACTTCAAAGCTCCCAACACATCAGGAAAGAATGAACCACTTGATTCAAAACAAATAGTCTGCAAACAGTGTGTGCCCACCAACTGTTAATTTGGTTTGGCCCACCTGTGACTCCAGAACTGCCCTCATGAATGGCCTACAAACCCACTTAGTTCAAAGATAATGAGGGATGAGCAACAAATGGTGGCCATGCAACTCACACACACATGCCATGAAAGTATAAAGCAAAAGCAAAATTCCCAAAAAAATGTCCTGTTCATACTCCCATTGAGGGAAAGAGCTGATGATCAGTAAGAAACTTAAGAGATTTAATCAAAATATTTCTATGTGTCCTACCAGAATTTGCTACCAAATCAGAACAAGATCCAAGAAGAGTGTTAACATTCAGGAAGGTCTTAACATTCTCTTTCCAGACTTGGATCCTTGTATTTAACAAATGGATCAAAAATTAGTTCATCAATTCAGTCCTGTATCTCTTCATATGTGAAACAGGAACAGGTTTGTTGCTGCTTCGTATTTGACTGGTTATCAGCCATCTTGACGTGAATGCTGCTTAACCATATAGCTGGGCAGATCTGAGAACCTAATGATAAAAGAAAGGGAGATACCAGATTCAGACACAGAATTACTTGCAGTGCTAACTATTCCACATCATAGTGATCTGTGCAGGAGAGATCCACACTGCAGATAATTCCACCAAGGGTGAATAAAGGGTACATGTCTTTCAAAGACCGTTTATCGACCCTCAAATGAGCTGATAAACCTGTATGAACAGGAATCCAAAAAGTTCGTGTATCCATCTGAGATGTCAAGATGTCAATGGGACTCAGTCTATATTCTGAAGAATCCTTCTTGTTTGACAGGTTTGCTTCTATCTTGTATAAAATAAACTTTAACCTAAAGAAAGTCTAAACAAAGCATTCAATGTGCGCTTTAATAGTGGTTTTTTTGTGCAATATGTTCAGCAAGCTGGCTAGTGTTGGCCCTTGTGTTTAAAACACAGATATTTAGATTTAATTGTTGGAAACATTCTATTGAAAATTAATACATTTCCAACTAGTATAACATTTCAGTTGACAAGAGCTGTACACTTGATGGCACACCTTCATAACTAGTGAGAGCACAATCTCAGAAGGCTGTCTGGTCACAATTCAGCAATGAAGATTCATTCGTGCAAGTGTTAGAATCAGTCATCTGAATTTTCCTACCCTACTAGCATGTTCTTAAAACACAGAAGTGTTTGTTAAACTTCTCACTGTGCTAGAGAATGCTTGTTAAAATCAGCTTATAGTCATTGAATTTATGACAGAGGCTGCCTTTGTAAAGCAGCTATTGAAACATTCTGCTTGTCTTAACTCAAATAAGTTTCTGTTGCAGGTGCTTTACATGTGTAATTTGCATGCCAAATTACAACATTCAACTTTCTTACAAAAACTAATGCATTTATATTAATGCAAGGCCATCAGAGACTCAAGTCAGGCAAGTCACTGATTAAACATGTCGTAGAAAACAGTTTGAGTTGACTATTTTGATTTTTTATCCTGAAGTGCAAAGTCACTTAGACCTATGGACTCATCAAACCCACAAATTATTTTAGCAAGAGGCTGGAGTGCACTGAAACTGATAAATGCTGAGATGATCGAACACCATTGCATAAAATCCAATGCGATAAGACTTTCTGTGCCATTAGCTACAAATCCATAAATATGTAAAACATGTAATTTTGCTAAATAATAGCATTTCAAAAAACTACACCTGTTGTTATTAAGTTGCCTGTTTAAAAATTAATTCTCACTATTCTTATACCAGTTCTTTTTTTAAATAAAGAAACTGAAATTCAGGTTTGGCTATTTTGAATAAGGCTCAGAAAGAGAGAAATCATGTGGAGCAGTTACAAATATATATTAAAAAGAACTATTTTGCATTTACATCTGTTTGCTTATAACAAAGATATTTCATTTGAAGAACAGGAAATGCAAACTTTGAATAAACGTAACATGCCTTTTTGAGTTATTAATACATTAAAAGGACTGTGATTGTTAATTGACTTAAGGTATAAGAAGAAAATTGCTTCTGTTTCTACAGCTTGGAAAAGTAGAACAAGAAAGAGACCAGTTCAAATTGGAGTATGAAAAAATGAAACAGGATTTGAAAGCCAGCACAAATAGAGGGGATGATTTTTATTGGACCAAAAAGTCAGCTGCTGCGTACAGATACTCGGAGCTGGAGCTAATGCGATCAGAGGTTGAAAAATTAAAGGGACAGAAGGTAGAACTGGAGGAGAAATTGGAAGAGGCTCTGAGGTGTAATGCATTATGCAAAGAAGCATGGGATCCTTCCACTAGCCAGGAAGTTGCCCAAGCCAACAGGTAATGAAACACATGCATGGTGGGTAAAGAGAAAGTCTTGCTGATCGAAAACCTCTTTAAATGCAACCTTCACCAGTTATGACCTTTGTTTTAATCCTTTTAGCCTCAGTTAATTCATTTACTTGAAGTCACTTTAGGAGGTTCTGTTATGAACTTTTTTTGGATTCTTTCTAAAGGTAGATGTAGCAGCAGTTCTTTTATACCAGGTCTGTGAGACTGCAAAGAGGAAACAAGTTCAAATTCCAATGAATTACCAATGTTAACAAAGAACATGCTGTCTGGAACCATGTGATTTGCATAATTCAGACAAACTGCAGTTGTCAAAATTTTTTCTAACTAGGTGCTCTTTCATTTCGGCCAGGAAATGATAATTGCTTTAGGCAGACTTCCTCAGAAAACTTTCTGTTAATGATTACAAAGATCTGTTGCATGGAGTATACATTGACTGAAATCTAAGATACAAATATGGAAGTCATACAGTGGGAAACCAGAGAAAGGAGAGAACTGTGGGAACAGGGGCAGATCTGAAAACGTAGTCAGGATAAAGCAACAATGGTGAAAATAGGAGAACTGTGTCAGAACAGTGGGATTTTTATGAGCACAATGTGGATAGAACAGTGACAGGGACAAAGACCACTTTGTGAACAGTGGAATTTCAGAGATCATAGCAAGGATGAGGTAGTGGCTGGGAAGGAAAGCACTGCATGAATAGCAGAAAGCCAAAAAGCACAATGATGCTAAAGCGAGCCGAGTTAAAAGAGAGACAGAAAGAGCGAAACCACTGAGAGAATAAATCAATGAAAGAAAAACTAAAGAGTGACTTCATAGAACAACATGTGGGTGATTTGTTGGTGAGAGTGACATTTTCATTCCTGTAGACTGTGGTTTGAACTAGGATTGGAAGATATAAAAGTATTGTTGAATTTATGGCTTAACTACTTAATTAACAAAGCTTCAAACAAGTAAAACCTCTAAGTTAACTCCTTATAAAATAAAGTGGTATTAGCACAAAGAAGGATCTGATTTGCGATAATGTTATAAACTTATTTTGGTTAAGCCTATTAGTAATTTAAGTAGCAGCATGGGACTGTATCTCAGTCCTAGGAGCGCGTGACCTATTTAAATCGGGAACTTTTAAACGCAATTTGCAGATGCTACAAAAGCATTGTGACCTACAGAGAGGCTGAATCTCAGTGTTAAAATCATTGAGTACTGAGAAAGCAAGCAAAAGGTCATAAGATGATTGTGTCCATGTCAAAAGCATTTGAGTGTAGGTGTGTGAGACACACAGTTGTATCTACCCACAGAGTGACATGGTAGAAATATGCAAATCATGGGTATCTGTCAGCTTTGAAGTGCTGAAAATGTGAGATTATTTATATTTAAGGAATAAGTGGAAATAAAATGAAAAATTTTGAGTATTTGTACATTCTCTGAATTGAAACGGGTTTTACCATGCGATTTTTTAAAAATTAAGCTAACATTTAATGTGTGCTGTGGATTCAATGTTCTTTAACTCAAAGTCAAGTGACTTTGGAGAAACAGCTGAGCAAAGTTTTCAAGGTGATGTGAGGTGGGGTTTATTGCCTGAATTAATGCAAAACTCTGGCTTGGAGCGAAATTGGGGCCCCCAATGCTAATGGTTATGTAGCAGCCCTCTAGATATTTTCACAGAGTTCCTACAGTGTAGAAGCAGGCCATTCGGCCCATCAGGTCCACACCTACCCTCCAAGGAGCATCACACTCACCCCTATCCTTGCCCCTCCTTATCCCTGTGACCCTGCATTTCCCATGGCAAATCCACCTAACATAGACATCCCTGGACACAATGGGCAATTTAACATCGGTAATCCACCTAATTTTCACATCTTTGGAAGGAAACTGGAGCACCCAAGGAAACCCACGCAGACAAGGGAAACAAACTCCACACAAAGTCGCCTGAGGGTGGAATCAGACTCAGGTCCCTGATGCAGTGAGGCAGCAGTGCCAACCACTGAGACACCATTCTGCCCTGTTTTCTAATACACCTGTTGAGAAATGTTATGACACACCTCTGTAGCAGGTGAAACTTGAACCCAGGCCTCTTAGACAAGAGGTAGGATATTACCACTGCATCACAACAGCCCAGTAACCCTTTCTAGACTTAGAGTTCAGTTCCCCAGAGCTGGGCTCAGCGTAAAGAAGACACTTTGAAGCTGCACAACTCTTTGCAGAAACCCTGCTTCTCAGAATAAATTCCTGGGAAGCTGATAGAGTTTTTAAGTACCGGCTTTTCTGTTAACTGGTAAGACGTAAAGTAGTGAACTGTGCCTAATTCTCAAAAAATTGTTTAGAATCAGGACTAGGCATTTATTATCAAACTACAGCTATAGCCAATTCAGTTTCGTCAACAGGAAATTTAGCGGATGTGAGCAGTCATCACATTTTATCCTTTGTTTCCAGACCCTTAGCCCCCAAGGTTTTCTTTCCCTTCCTTGTTTTGGAAAATGCATCACCTCTGCAGGGATTTTTCTCTTTGCATTGTGTGGCTGGCTGTGTGGGACGTTTATGGATAAAGTTTTAATTCAGGATCGTAGCTTAGGTCTTAGCCAGAGTATGCCATTGCTTTAAAATAGGTTTTATGCCGACTAGTTGGATGGTTTTGAGTTTATTAAAGACGTCTTGTGAGTTTTTTTTATTTTTGATAGCAGTACCAAAAAGAGATAATTGACCATTCTGGTAATGGAATTTACACTAATAGAACAACTAATGGAGTGGTGGGGCTTGATTCTCAGCGTGCTGTTTGCATCAGAGAAGTGAGGGGTCCAAAGTTTTTGAGAAGGTCTGTAGCTCGGGTTGTGGATGAGGTTGTAGACTTGCTCACTGAGCCGGTGTGTTTGATTGCAGACGTTTTGTCACCCTGCTAGGTAACATCGTCCGTATGCGTCTGGTGAAGCGTTGGTGTTCTGTCCCCCTTGTTATTTATATGCCTTGATTTACTGGAGTGGTTGTTTTTCAGTGGTTTGTATATCGGGTCCAGTTCAATGTGTTTGTCAATGGAGTTCCAGTTGGAATGCCAGGCCTCCAGGAATTCCTTGGCATGTCTCTGTTTGGCTTGTACTATTATGGATGTGTTTGCCAGTCGAATTTGTGTCCTTCTTCGTCTGTCTGTATTGAGACCAGTGAGAACTGGTCGTGTCTCTTGATGGCTAGTTGGTGTTCGTGTGTCCTTATTGTCCGTATTCTTCCAGTTTGGCTTATGTAATGTTTCTCACAGTCCTTGCATGATATTTTGTATATTACGTTGATTTTATTGGTTGTGGGTATGGGATCCTTTACGTTCGTCAGTAGCTGTCGTAGGGTGGTTGATGGTTTGTGGGCTACCCTGATATCTAGGGGTCTGAGTAGTCTTGTGGTCATCTCTGATATGTCCCTGATGTATGGTAGGGTGACTAGTGTGTGTGGCCATGTTGTGTCTTCTTGTTGTGGTCTGTTGCAGAGATAACAGCGGATTGTGCTTTTTGGGTATCCATTCCTTTTAAAAACTCCATATAAGTGCTCCTGTACTGCTTTGTGCAGATCCAGGTTGCTGCAGTCTGTTGTGGCTCATTTGAATAATGTCCTGATGCAGCTCCATTTATGGATGTTGGAGTGTTTGCTGGTGTAATTGAGTATCTGGTTCATATATGTGGTCTTTCTGTATCCTCTAGTCTGGAGTTTGCTGTTGTTCTTACATTCTAACATTAGGTCTGGGAAGGGTAGTCGGTTATTGTTCTCTTCTTCTTTTGTGAATTTTATTCCAGTGAGGATGTTGTTTAAGTATCGGTGGGCTTCTTCTCGTCTTCATGAAGGTGTTATCAACATAGCGGAATCAGAGTTTGGGTTGGATAGTAGGGTGGGCTGTCTGTTCTAAACTTTGCATTACTGCTTCTGCTATCGGTTCTGATAAGGGGAATTCCATCAGTGTTCTGTTGACTTATTTGAATATACGGTCATTGAAGGTGAAGTAAGTTGTGAGCTACAGATCCAGCAGGTTCAGGAAGCTGTCCTTGTTGATGCTGTTGGTGTCATGGGGTATCTGCCTTCCTGATTCGTCCAGCAGTGTGGCAATTGTCTTTTTGGCTCGGTCGATGTTTATGGATATAAATTGTACTGTTATGTTGAAGGATATCATTATCTTGTCCTCCTCTATTCTTTTGATGATGTTGAGAAATTCTTGGGAGGAGTGGATAGTGTTGTCTGCGAAGTATTTCAGTTTCTGTTGTAATTCTTTGGCTAGTCTGTGTGTTGGTGTGCATGGTAGCGAGACAATGGGTCTGATTGGGACCCGTGGCTTGTGTGCCTTATGGAGTCCTTAGAAGTGGGGTGTGTTGGATCCATCTAGCTTCATTTTTTGGTAATCTGTCTTGGCGACATCTCCTGAGTTGTGTAATTTCTTCAGTGTTGTTGTAATCTGGTTCTCTAATTGTGGTGATTGAATTGGTTCAGGAGTAGACAGGATTGTGGTGAAGCTGACGATTTTCTGATACCTATTGCCATGGATGAAGGATCAAGGAGCATGGTCACCATGGAACATTTAGGGACATTGTGCAGAAGAAGCAATGGCATGATGACTAGGACAGGCATTTGGTGAGCTGCAGCCATCAGCTGCCAGCTCTCTTTTACCTATCAGGTATTTGTGTGATCTAGTTTCTTGGTAGAGAAGAGGAGAATTAGAATTGGGATGTAATTGTGGTGAATTGGGACTTTATTGAGATGCATATACATGGAGCTAACATTGTCATAATTCAAAGACAAGATTCTGAAGTTGTTAAGTAAAGCATGAGAGGGACGTTAGGAAAAGTTTTCTGGATGTTGAGAATTTTGATTTTTTTGTCACCATTTTCACCATTGCTTTCAACACACCAGAGGGGAAAATTCCACCCATAACTTATATAAACGTTTGAAATGTGAATCTCTGAAAATATTGAGAAATTGCCTGTATAGTATCAACTCATTATTATTACCTCATGAAAAAATCAGAAATAGATAGATATTTACCATCATCTAGAGATTTTTTTTCAGAAAATCAGCTGCAGGCTAAACTGAACAAGTGTGTATTACTTAAAAATAACAACTGAAAGAACTTCTGGAAATCAGAAACAAAAGCAGAAATTGTTGGAATAGCGCAGCAGGTTTGGCAGCAGCTGTGGAGAGAAATCAGAGTTAACATTTCGGGCCCAGTGACCCTTCTTCAGAACCTACTCTATTACTACTGATCTACATTCTAAATCCTGTCTCTGCCCGGCTTATTGTCAGATAGAACACACCAGGACATCTAATCAGTTACTTTGTAATGATTAAGGAAAACCATAGGAGAAAACTCTAACTATCCTGATATATATGCACACAGAGAAAATGTGAACAGAAACTGAATGTAAATGTGAAAATAAGACATCACTTTGCATTAAAAAATACAAAGTGAATCATTTGATTTTTATGTTCCAAAGCAGTTGTATTTTGCATCAGCTTTCCAGAAGTTATTCCGTGTTTCTTTACAATGCATTGATAAATAATTACAAAGTTGTATTGTTCTAAAAGCCAAATTGTTTGATGAGGGGACTGGGTGTAGTATTTCATCTTGGACATGTTTTTAATCCAGTCCAGACTCATGGGATGAAAATCTGCCTGCAAACATTCGAAGTGTTTGTTTACTCTCAGTGCTGTTCCTATTATGTTCTTTTCCCATCAGTTCTATCTTGGCAGTCTGTTAATAAGATGGGAATATCTCGCAATTTTCCTTTTGGTATGACTCTTGTGAGGTTGGAGTTTTTTTAACAGTTAACAAAGTATTTGATGGTAACATTAAGTGCCCAAGATGGAAAATGTTTTAGTTTGAAGTAATGTCTGTTACCTCAATGCTTAAGTACGAAACTGGAAAAGTATTTGATATGATGACTAGATTCATTAACCTATATTGTGTTTCAACAGTGTACTGACAAAGTTGAAGTCATTGCGGGTAAAAGTCGGACACCTGTTGGGTTCTGTTCTGCCACACTTGGACTTAAAGGACATCAGTTACGAAACAGATATAATCGATGAAATTCTAGAAAAGGTGATTGAAGCCAATAAACTCTGAGCCAAATCTTCCATCTTATAACGTGCTTTGGAAAAGACAACCAACCTTTGTTCATTTTAGCAACTCTTGTTATTTTAAAAAGAGCATATCCCCGAAAGAGAGAACGAGAGTTAGCGATGTACAGGAAGCATTTGCACACCTCACAACTTCTACTGCTGAAAGTATCAAAACTTGTTTTGATAACATGCATCCGATCAAATGTGTCCACTTGTAATGAAATTTATCAGATCTGCTGAAAAATTACACAAACGGCTAGTCTCTGTTTCTTTTTAGCCTCTTTTTATTTGTAAGTACTCCAACACAAAGGCAGTAATGTATAGTTCTGATTAGATAAGCTTAATCTATTGATATTGGAAGTGTGAAACCAAGGATACAGCACAACCTTAAGCTAAGTTAATGTATTATACTTGCAGAATCAATTGTCTGATGCATTCAGAATGTCACAATGACAGCTTTTTAAAATTAATTATGGAGTCATTGGCAATGTCAGCATTTATTGCTCATCCATACATACTTTTGAGAACGTGGTGGTGAGACACCTTTTTGAACCACTGTGTGATGGTGCTCCAAGAACGCTGTTAGGTAGTTCCAGGATATTGACCCTTGGGAATGAAGGATATCATGTATCCCTATGTGTCTGCTGCCCTTATCATTTTGCCTGGCATAGATCACATAATTAGAAGGTGCTGATGAAGAAGAACTGACCAGGTGTTGCAGTGAAACTTATGGATGGTACACTGCAGCCATGTTGCACTAGTGATGAAGGGAATGAATGTTGAAGACAGTGGAGGGACTATCAATCAATCAGGTTGGTGTGGTTTGAATGTTATTGGAGTCGCATTCATCCTGAAAAGTGGAAAGTATTCGATCACACCTGTAACATGTCGATGCTAGACGGGCTTTGGGGAGTTAGAAGTTAGGCGAGTCATTCACCACAGATTTTCCAATCTCTGAACTCGTCTTATAGCCTCAGTATTTATAAGCTGATCCAGTTAAATTTCAGGATGGTGATCCCTTCTCCCCAGGATGTTGATTGTGTGGGATTCAGCGATAGTGAAGCTGCTGGATATTATAGGGAGATATTTCAGTTCTCTCTAGTAGAAGCTAGTCATTGGCTGAGACTTGTGTGACAGTGTTACTTGCCATTTATCATCCCAAGTCTGAATGTTTTCTGAAACTATTGAGAATAACAAATTAAGAAGGTAAGAAAGTATAATTTTAGTTTTTCTGACTGTGCTGTATTATTTAATCTCTAATGATCAGAGAAGAAAATCGACAAAGACCTTTTCTTATTCTTTCAGTAGCAAGTAGATCAGGGGAACACCTGATTTGTGCTATTGCAGTGGAGTTGTACAAACTTTATAAATGTATGTAAATATATGTCAGATTCTCCAAAGGGTTAGTGAAAGAGAAACAGGATAGCAAGATTCAATCCTCCAAATGTTGCCCACTTCTATCTCTGACTGAGATTTATCCATTTTGCCAAGGCTAATAACATGAAATGCACCTTAACCATAATAAATAGGTCAATATCCTGTTTGTGGCCGAGACTTTTAACTTGAGTGGTGAAAAATTTAGAGTTTGAACTACTTGGAATTACCTGGTTGTACTTAAAGACATGTTAGTTGATGCAAGTCACCTTTATATAGTGAGAAAAATAGATTTGTAATGTTACTTGAACTCAAAACATTCAGTCAGGTTCCTGGGTTATAGCTCCCTTGCGATGATTACTGATCAACAGTGAGAATAAGTACCCTGGAGGTTTCCACCATATTCATTGCAACTTTGACAGAGAACTGTCTAAGTATTGAAAGACATTAATTTCCATTATGTCATTCAAGCTGCCAAAATCAAGCGTAACTTACCTCCCAGGGTGGTTTGGTCTCTTATATTAGCATGTTCATTTTTACTTTGATTATTATGAAACTAAATTAATTTCTGATCTGCAAAATATGATTGTCAACCTAATGAACATACTCAAATGCTTTGGTTTTAATGGGACATGGTGTGTGACATTGGGCCTGGAATTCTAGTGATGAAAGTGTGGCAGAGTAGAACCCTTTGCCATCAATGAAATCAGTGAAGTACAATAGACTCTTTCACAAAATATGGATATGGGAATATTAGTATCCTCAAGATTGGCTATTAACCCTGTAAGGGCACGTAAGTAGCAACCAACCAACAGAGATCAGGAAAGATAGGGTCAGGATCCTAGAATCAGTTCTTTGATGTATGTCCTTTATTGCCTAAAAAATGTCATCTTTGCTATTTAGCTCTAGCCATCTCCTGATTGACACAAAAATGAAATACAAATTTGCATTATTTTTGGTAAATTCAAATGCAGTTGCTTGGTAATAACTGGTTCTAACTGTTAAATTATTCTACCTTAAGAGTGTAGGTTTGGAAAGCATACGTTGTTGCTTAACCTTTGGGATTTACATTCTAATAAATAAGACTAAGCAGATCGGAGGTTCTATTTGACCACTTTGAAAGTTCTAAATTAATACATTGAAGGTAGCTTTAGTCCATTTTCTTATGGGTTCAGGTTCACTTGCAAAGATATTCATAGTTTGAATCAAAAATGGCAGTCTTATTTGAAGCAATAAGGATGGCTGCTCAGGGAAATTAACACCTCTCACTGATACAGTGGTTATTAACCCTACATTTGTATGGTACCTATTGATTTCTAACAGAGGTTGAAATATTCAGCAATTATACAAGACCTTGCGGTAGGAAATTACAAAGAGAGCTTTAATCTGCATACACACAAGCTAAATTTAACCTGTTGTAATCTAATGGCAACACCAGACATAAAAACAGGCTTTCACAGCATTATTGATACATCATCTCTCACCAAAACTATTGTAAAAGCTATCCCTTATTATTAAATATTGCATCCTCAGACTGTGATGAGTGAGGATGGGGATAAGATTGATGGATGGTAGCAGCCTGTCAAATATTTGTGAAATTTCTTGATTTTTTCAATGGTAAGAAAATAATCTGGACTGATGTTGTATTTGGCAAAAGGAAGTGGTATGTATAAACTTACTATTCTATATGCATTGATTTCGGGCAGTGTGTATTCAGTTGGATCTATAGAACAAAACTGCTCTTCTGTCAAGTTATTAAGAGAAAGAATGAATTCAGTTCTGATTGATCAAGTTCTCCACACGTCCACCAGAGGTTTACAACTAATTTAATCATTTTATATAGTTTACTGTTATTAGCTGGATAAACTGAGCAGCCAATTTGTGCACAGTGAAGTTCTACAGATCGTAAATGAGATAATGACCAGTTCATCTTTGCTTGGCTGTGTTTTGTTGTGTTAACTGAGGGACAAACATTAGGCAAGAGGCAAGCAGAACTGAGTGCTCTTACCTGAATAATTTTGTGGAATCTTTCATGTTCCTCTGAACATGATGGTGTTCTTAATTTAATGTATGATCGAAAGTACAGCACTACTTCAGTTCTCACTCCATCTAGATTATACACCTGGAGTACATAAGGTTTCAACACAGAATCTATGAATAGGGTTGGTAGTGCCATCACTATTCAATTAACACCCCAGAGATTGTGAATTCAAATAACACCTCATCAAGTTGTGAAATGGATTTCAGTAAAATAAATGACCATAAAAGTTTTTTTTTTCAACTTTAAAACTTGAGTTCATTCACCAATATGTTTCAGAGAAAGGAACATTACACCCAGACCATGCCAAACATATCTCCTCTGATGAAATAACTCTAGTCCTACACTACATACTGTATTTTTAAAATTGACCCATCCCCATAGTATTCAGACCCCTTACGCTACTCTTCCAAATTCACAAAGTCCCTCATGCTTCCTTTATCAATTTTGTGCCTCCTTCATCTCCCACCCTTTTCACCTTCACCAACCATACCAACTCACTTCATATCTTTGCACAAGTACCCATGCACACAAGAGAAAATATAAGGTTCTATTTCCTAATGTTCTATATTATGGACTACAGTCTATTAAGAAAAGCACTCTCATTCATGAAAGCAAATTTTGACAGGTTTTGACAGTTCTTGTCAAATTGGACAGTTCCTTTTACACACAATCTTCTCCACAATTTTAATAATTCCAAAGAGATGTAGTTATGCTCCATGTGAATTGGGATTCCAGCTCCTCAAAATGAAAATGTTCCAGCTCCCAGTACTAAAATGCCTCACTTTAATGTGATATAAATCATAAATAAAACTCCCAGGCTGATTCAGTTCAATGCAGATTGATCCTAATTTATGGCAGTTGTATTATTGTGACTTTACAAATGTAGAATCATAGAATCCCTAGAGTGTGGAAACAGGCCCTTCGGCCCAACAAGTCCACACCAAACCTCAGACCATGCAGACTCATCCCCCTATAACCCACCTAATCTAGGGCAATTTAGCATGGCCAATTCACCTAACCTGCACATCTTTGGACTGTGGGATAAACCGGAGCACCAGGAGAAAACCCAGGCAGACATGGGGAGAATGTGCAAACTCCACACAGCCAGTCGCCCAAGGCTGGAAATGTACCTTGCATATTTCCCAGTTATTTTATTTTGATATAATTAAGCCTAATTTGTGGTTCAAATGTTGCTTCAAATTACAATTTAGAATTTTATTTCATTTTTGGAACATTAAATAAACAGGATTTGTGTTGCGACCCCAGATAGAACCACACGAAGCTAGTAAAATTTGAGTAATAAGTCATAGAATAAGTTATACACTAATGCTAGTGTGTCCTTAAACTGTAACCTAAAATAATTTTCTGCCTTTTTCCAATCAATTTTGCTCTGAATTGTAACAAGAAAACTAAAATAAATTAATACAGTTTTGTTTTTGTTAGCAAAGGTAGTTTGGATTTTGTTTAACTAGTTTTCATGAAGGAAAGTATCCTATTTGTTTTATGTTAGGTAAGAAATGAAATTGAATTGGTAGGTGTGGATTTTCATATTTCTTTTCAATACAATTATTGCCAGTCTTTTCTGTAGGGACTTTGATTTGTTTCAGATTCAATCATTGTCTCATTATCATTACACATTGGTTTTATATCCAGAAAACAAAATCTCCCCACCCTGTGTACAGTAGTACATCCTGTATTAATTAACTTATAAAAACCCTAACAAAAGTATTAGCTGGAATTAGTGTATCTTGCTGAATGAGATAAATGAAACTGATTTATAGAAGTATCAAAGTTCAACTATTGGCCTGTTTTCCACAAGTGTGTTCATTGGAGACTGGTAAAAAGAAATACCTTCATAAGGTTTAGAGACTATAAGGACTGCAGATGCTGGAAGCCAGAGTCTGTAGGTGTGTGGCTAGAAAAACACAGCAGGTCAGACAGCATCAGAGGAGCAGGAAAGTCAACTTTTCGGGCCAAAACCCTTCCCAAAATGTTGACTTTCCTGCTGCTCTGATGCTGTTTGACCTGCTGTGCTTTTGCAGCCTCACTCCTCTATAGACTATTGTTCATAAGGAATATTTTCCAAGGAAAGGACATGCAATCTATCTAGGATCGTTCCAGAAGGTTTTCTAATTTTTTTTTTCTTTATTTGTTAATGGAATGACAACGTAGCTGGCTAGCATTTATTGTCCATCCCTAATTGCCCAGAGGACAGTTCAGAGTCAACCACGTTATTGTGGGTCTGGAGCCACATGTAGGTCAGACCAGGTAAGGATGGCAGTTTCCTTCCCTAAAGGACATTAGTGAACCTCTTTACTGAAAGTTTCAGTCACACCTTAGGAGTACTCTGAACAAATGAAATGGGAACTCTCTCAATATTCCCCTAGTTCCTGGATTAGAAGGCCCCGAAAACTGTTTGCAAGCAAATCAGTGAAACTCAATCTGATTGCTAATGTTAAAGAGAAGCATTGCAATGTTTCAGACTGAAAGGACATGAAGGTGGATCTACCTTCACTGCTCCAGGTCTTGGGAAAGGGGACAGAATTGAGCAAGTAGGGCTACTACTGTATTTTCCTTCCAAAATGATTTTCCCACTATCAGTATCTTCTAAATTCAGTTCTTTAACAAGGTCAGTTCATGATAAGTAATAAATCAATTAATGGCAGTGGCAACTAATGTAATCAGATTGCAAGTTCTTCATTATTAGAAGGCAAGACAAACAGCAATGGCTACTGATGAATAAAAGCATGTCTGAAAACCTTTGAGATATCGTTCATTTTGAAACCAGCTTTATATTTATTTTGGTGAACAACACTGGACTGAGCATCATCTCCAGTCTTCCTCATTAATAAGTCTTTCAGAATTAATTCCACTGAAATTGTAGACTGGGATTGGTATTTAAAGCAGGGTTGTAGCAATCAGTATAACCAGCAAATCACTTTTATTTTGACTTTGGAATCTTGTCCCAGCAATCCAATTTCATATCACCTACAACAGATTTGAACTCATTTTTCAAAAGCAGGAATCTGATGTGGTAAATAGAAAAAAATCGTAGTAGACAGTGACTTTCCAATATTGGAGGAGTAGAAGGAGCTTTACTGTGCAGCTATTGTGCTGTCGGTGTCCAAGAGTATGAGACAAAACAATTAATGGATATCTGAAATAGAAAGGGTTCTGTTTCTCTGTACTAACACACTTCATTTCGAAAATGACAAAAGAGGAACTTGGAGTAGAGAACTGGAAAACAGCATGTCAACTTGTTTTGTTTTAATTGTACAGCTGGTAGTGAAACAAAAATAAGCTGTTTGTGGCATTAAACTTACCACTGTTTCATATTTATTAATTGATTATTAACTTTTTGCAACCTTTTCCAAACCAAATTCTTTTTTCTTAACTGATAATTTATGATTTCTTTTTGTTATGATACATTATATCATCGAAAGTTATACTAGTTTCAAATATCTTGGATTTTTAATTTTTATTTTAAGTTCTGAGTTCATTATTTTATGTTCACCTCTACACTTAGTGTTGCAATGTGTTTGTTTTGGGGAAAAATGGTTATTCCCAAAGTAGAAAAATATATGAGCTATCATCTAAATTTAATTCACCAAATTTTATATCATTATTTAGTCTATATAAATATATATTTAAAGGTTATGCAGTAGCAACAGGAACAAGATGTTCAGTAGGTATAGAATAAATGTTATACAAGGAGCCTACTTCCTGTACTGGGTATGAATGGTGCTGATATTACTTCCACCATGCACTGTGCCACTTCCATCATCTCAACCCTAAATCATTATACCCTCATGGGTTCTGCCTTGCCTGGGGTCTGTGTATTGGGTTTTTTTTTTGCACTGCATTATCTTTATCCAATTTAAGAGTAACTATTTGTCTTACTGTCAGTAATACTGTAAGCACTTCATTTACATTCTTATATTACAGATTACAGTTCTTCTATTCCTCTTTTCAAAGAGTCTCAATAGTATATAGTTGTCAGAGTTACACCATTCTGTACATAATCATTATAACCAGATTAGTTCCCCAGTATTCTAAAAATATCTTCATATTCTGTTTTAAATGTTAAGTTTCTTTTTGTTCTGAATCTGTTTTATAGGTATTTCTGCAATCAGCAGAGGTATAAAAGGTTCTATAAAAGGTTAGAAGTTCTACTTATATTTAAGAGGCAAAGCTCTTTCCTATCTACCTCAGCCAGTGAGAAGCTGCAAAGTTTTTAGTGATCCTTGATGCCAATGACAATATTAAAGAGATCTGTTTGTTTGGATAGTGGAAGAAGGAGAGTTGGAGAATTTGTATTTTAGACCTGAATAATAGAGTCTACCCTCTCAGCCCACCAAAGAACTGACAAAACTTAAATTAATGAGTAGAGGGAGCAATTAAGTTTCTGAACTAGTAGCCTTGAGGCCCAGGCTAATAATGCAGAGAATGTAAGTTCAAGCTTAACGTTGTTAACCAGTCCACCATACTTGTGATTATAATCCCACGTCAATGTGATTGACTTTTTGCCACATCCTGAATGCAGAATTTTAAAGAGAAAGGCAGCCTATGCATTGACGATAACTGTCTGCCTAATTAATGATGTCCACATCTAAGGAAACAAATTTTAAAAAGTAGATGGGTTATGTAAAATTTAAAGACTGCTGGCTATCAATTGCTCCAGTAATGTTGTGGACCTATAGTTTGTTAAATCCAAAAAGATCACCTTACTCCCAAAAGCAGCCAGTCAAGGACACTACTTCAAAGCAGCAAAGTATGGACCTAATGATCAATAGCAAAATGTTGTTAATCGACCATAACATGTAGAAATTAAAAATATCAAGACACTGCAATCTAATGTATTATGTGCCATAGAATAGTAGATATCCAAACCTCAATGTAGGGAAATGTTGGTTTTCTAAATTTCTCCATACATCCTCTGTGCAGCCATATATGATCTCTTTCCATAAACAGTTATAGATTTCAAGCATGAGATGCCAAGAAAATTAATTAAAGGGTTTATTTGCATTATTTTTTAGGCCCATCAATATACTGAGACAATTCTGTAGCAAAAATGTAAGATATTGATATTTTTCTATCCATATATATTTTACTACACTTGGCATTTGTCATGCCATATTGAAGATGGTCAAATGAAAAAGTATTCAAATAAATGATTTTATAACCATTAACAAATGTTAAAATTCAAATCATTAATGAGCAATAAAAAAAAGAGGAACCAATTGTTAGTTTATTCCATCTTACAAACTCAGATGAAAATCGTTTGCTCATCTAAATTTTGTTAAAATTGAGGAGGGAGGATTAACGTCATTATTAAATGCATTTATTTGTATTTCTGTGTGGTAGTACTTAAGATCTGTGAATCTAATCAATGCAAAACAAGGTGTGATGACGAGACAGCAAATGATCCCATATTACACCATGCTACTTGCAAATTTTCTCACTTTTTAAAAAAAATTGGAATGTCAAATTGTGGGCTCTCATTAGATGGAGAAAACTTGTTAGGAAAAAGCTGCATATACCTGCCCTCTACAGTAGATGAAGTCTCCCCACCCGACTCAGTATTCTTAGATATATATTCATGGAGAGGTGTTAGCCTAGTGGTATTATTGCTGGATTGTTTATCCAGACACTCAGGCAATGTTCTGAGGATCCAGGTTTGAATCTCGCCATGGCAGATGGTGCAACTTGAAAATCTGGAATTAAAAGTCTAATGATGAACATGGAACCATTGTCAACTGTTGGAAAAAGCCATGTAGATCATTGGAAGGGATGGAAACTGCAATCTTTACTTCGCCTGGCTTACAAGTTGACCTTTAACTCACCTCCCATGTAAGAATAATAAAAAAAAATGTCCAGCTCTAAAATCTAGCAGAAATTACAAAGCCTCAATGATGTAACAAATTCAGTCAAAATCTAAAGACTATCATGACATTTAATTTCTGATTCTGTTTGATTCACATTTAGAAGTTTCAGGTCTGTTCAAAACTGTCAGCTATCCAAGCAGCCTTGCATATTTGGGTCACATCAATCTTTCTTATCAACAGAAACACAATCTATATTCAGTTCTTTCCTCTTAAATATTTAAACATATGAAAAGAAATGAATGAAATAAAATGCTTATTAAGTAGCTGTTAAATTAATATTTATTGATATTTACAGAGGGCTTTATCGGGTTCTGCATTGTTTAGAAAGCAGTCTGTTTCTATACAAAATGTTTGTTGCAGGATTATCTTGTATTGAGAGTACATACCGGAGGCTGGAGAATATCTGTGGTGTAATTGGTCAATGTTTTACATCCATGTTTGTTACTCAATGAACTAAAGGAGCAGCTCTTTAAACGGACACTGTACTGGTACAAACATTTTTGAAAAGTTATTCCTCCCAGTCAGCACAAAAACTCAGATATATGGTAAAAATCCTGATTCTCTTGTGCTAGATCACATAGACCACCTGTTTGTTTTCAACTGGTGGCATTGTTTGTACTGTCTCCAACACTAGAAACTGCTGTGATTTCAATTTCCTTTTTTTTACTCTTCAATTGTACGGTAACATGTTTAATAATACACCTCACAGTCAAAAATTATTCTAGCAAATATTTTTTTTTTTCATTTTAAATATGTATTACAAATAAAGAGGAATTAAACAATGTGCTGTAAGGAGCATTCTTACCATCCATCATTCTTACCATGGTAGATTAATTAGTAAATTCAAGATGAGCTTGCCAGTTGGTTACGAAATTGGTTTATAGCAGGAGACAAAGAGTGATGTTGGAGACCTATCACCAGCGATGTTCCACAACGATCAGGCTGGATCCACTTTTGTTTGTCATTTATATAAATAATTTAGTTGATAATTTAGAAAGCATGGTTAGTAAGTTTGCGGATGACACCAAAATTGGTGCTATAGTGGACAGTGAAGAAGGTTATCTAAGATTACAAAGAGATCTTCATCAATTAGGTCAATGGACTGAGGAGTGGCAGATGGAGTTTAATTTAGATAAGTGCGAGGTATCGCATTTTGGTAAAACAAATAAGGGCAAGATTTATATAATTAAAAGTAGGGCCTTGGGTAGTGTTGTTAAACAGAGAGATTGAGGGGTTCTGGTGCATAATTCTATGAAGTTTGCATCACATGTAAACAGTGTGATTAAGGAAACATTTAGCACACTTACCTTCATTGCTCAGACCTTTGAGCATAGGATTTGGGATGTCATGTTGAGATTGTACAGGATGTTGGTGAAGCCTCTTCTAGCGTTCTGTTAAGGAAGGACATTATTAAGCTGGAGAGGGTTCAGAAGAGATTTACCAGGATGTTGCCAGGAATGGAGGGTTTGAATTATAAGGAGAGGCTGGATAGGTTGGGACTTTTTCACTGGAGCGTAGAAGGTAAAGGGGTGATGTTATAGAGGTTTATAAAATCATGAGGGGTATACATAGTTGAATGGTGGGTATCTTTTCCCTACGATGGGTGATATCAAGTGTAGACAGCATAATTTTTAGGTGAGAGGAGAAAGATTTTAAAGTACAGACTGACTTCAAACATGGACAAAACAGCTAATTCCAGAGCTGGGCCGAGACTGATAGCCGTCAACATCGAGGCTGCATTTGACTGTGTGTGACTGTAAGATTGAGCAAAAATCCCCAGCATTAAAACATACAGACTTTCAAAACTTTTAAAGGAAAAGGGACAGCTGGACTGAGTCTGCAGGAAAATACCAATCAGCAGGCCTGAGAATAGAGATTGCTGGATGGAACTATTGTTCAGCCTGAAATCCCAATTTACACCCCCTCTCTAAACGAACAGTCGACCAAAACCAACAGACCCTACAATGAAGGGTTAGGGAAGGGTCTAGGCTCGAAACGTCAGCCTTCCTGCTCCTCTGATGCTGCTTGGCCTGCTGTGTTTATCCAGCTCTACACCTTGTTATCTCAGACCTTAGCTAAGACAGTTTTTATACCTCAGGCTACACAGCGTGAACAGTATGGGGCCTACAGAGATACTTGACATTCAACCTCGATCAAAACCCATTCACACATACTCTAACCATCAGAAAGCCAATTAACCTCAGAAGAGAACATCAAGAGCTTTGGTGCAAAAATTGTTGAAAGAGCTGAATACTAGAGATGAGGTGGGAATAACTGCTTTGACAATAAGACTGCATTTGGCTCGGTGCATGGCATCAAAGTGCTTCAGTAAAATTGAAATCAGTGGGAATTGGGGAAATTTGTCCCATATTTAGTCATGTGTGGCTATTGGTGGCCAATCATTTCAAATCTAGGACATCACTGCAGGATTTCATTAGGACAGTGTTCAAGGCATAATTATCTTCACCAGCTTCATCACCTTCTCACCATCATAAGCTTAAAAATTGGGACATCCTGATTATTATATTCAAAGCTCCTTCAATACTGAAGCAGTCAACACCGTCTTAAAGTATTCAGACAGAAACTAAAATGACAAACAACATCCATACTGCAGAAATGCCACACAATGATTATCTCCAATAAGAGAAAATTTAACTGTCACCTCTTGATATTCAACCACATTGCCATTGCTGAATTCTCCACTATCAACATCCTGAGCGGTCACCAATGACCAAAATGAGAGGCTGATTAAGAAGGTGTTTAGCACACTTACCTTCATTGCTCAAACCTTTGAGTATGGGGAGTTGGAACCCCATGTTGAGGTTGTACAGAATGTTGGTGAGGTCTCTTCTGGAGTACTGTGTCAGAAGAAACTTAACAGGATGTTGGTATTTCCATTGGTATTACCATTTCTGAAGAAGGGTCCAGACCCGAAACGTCAGCTTTCCTGCTCCTCTGATGCTGCCTGGCCTGCTGTGTTCATCCTGCTCCACACCTTGTTATACCAGGATGTTGCCAGGAATGGAGGTTTTGAGTTGTAAGGAGAGGCTGATTAGGCTGGGACATTTTTCACTCGAGTGTGGGAGGTTAAGGGGTGATGTTATAGAGGCTTATAAAATTGTAAAGGGTATAGGTAAGGTGCATGGCAGATGTCTTTTCCTTAGGGTGGGGTATTTCAAGACTCAACATATTTTTAAGGTGAGAGGAGAAAGTTTTTAAAAAGATAGGAGGGGCAATGTTCTTACACAGAAGATGATTGATGTGTGTGGATTGAACTTTATTAGTGAAGCAACTGAATGTAGTTGCATTCCACAGAGGTGTCCTGGAGCTGAAATAACTAACCTCCAATAACACATACTCAGGCAGGTTTAACTAATGGAGAGTTTTCCCCAAATTCTTATTGACTTCAACTTTGCTAGGGCTTATTGATGTCACACACAGTCAAACGTAACCTTGATGTTGAGGGCTGTCACTCTCACCTCACCTCTAACTCGTTTGTTTGAAGCATGGCTATACTGATGTAAGGAGCTGAGTGGCCCTGGTGGAACCAAAAGTGGGTGTCACTGAGCAGGTTATTGTTAAGCAAATGCTGTTAGATAACACTGTTGATGACATCTATTACTTTACTGATAATCGAGAGTAGACTGATAGGGTCAAAATTGACTGCATTGGATTTGTTTTGCTTTTTGTGGACAGCGCATTCCTGGGCAATTTTCTACATTATGGGTAAATGCCAGTGTTTTAGCTGTAATTCCAACTTGGCTAGGGGCCAAGTTTTACTAGTTTTGGAGTACATATCTTGAGTACTACTGTGAGAGTGTTGTCAGGGTTCAAAATCTTTGCAATATCCAGTATTTTCAACTGTATCTTTATATCATGTGGGGTGAACTGAATTGGCTAAAGACTAGCAGCTATGATGCTGGGAACCACTGGAGAAGGCCGAGATGGATCATCTACTTGGTAATTCTGGCTGAAGACTGTCCATAGAATCATACAGCACAGAAGAATCCCTTCGGCCCATTAAGATTGTACCACCAAAGGAGCCCTAAATCTGCATGAATCCCACTTTCCGGCACAAAGCCTGTAGCCGTGAATGTATTGATATTTCAAGCACTTATCCAGGAAAGTTTTCAGGTTGTGAGGTTACCTACCTTAACTACTTGTGATGATGTTGTCACTTTAAGAGGTTACTTTGTTCTGTTTTTGTTTGAAGAGATGTTGTAAGGTAGATGTGCCAATCTGGCTAGTTAAGACCACTTTAGAAAACAGCTTGGCATGTGAGAATCTGTGTCTGAATTCTCCTTTTTTGCCAAGGGATGTTTTCATGGAATGTTACTATATTGGAACCATTAATTAGTAATAGCTACTATATCTACTATTCTGTTAAGTTTTCCAATGGAGCTAAGTTATTCTAAATTCCTGTTTCTTTGGTTGTATTTTAACTACAGTGTTCAAATAAATTGTGTTTTGCTTAACGTTGATAAGTTTGACCAGTCGCATTGCATCTGGAACGCAACACTTTACATTTGCCTTTAAAATAAGAAAAAGTTAGGGTCTAGGCTACCTTCTTAAAATATTTTGAGGGGTTCTGGACTGGTCCATAACACACTGTCCCAGACAGTACATGACCATCGGACTTACAATGCACGTACTTATGAACACAATCCCATACAGGGGTGTTACTCTAAAGACCTGATATGCAAACATTTCCTGTACTTAGAAACAGCCAGTTTACATTGTTCTGCATTGTATTTTGATTTGAGTACAATCGACTTGTAAACAGATTTCAGAATAGAACCCATTCATGACTCAGGGATTGCCTGATAACGTGCTATCCACAGCAAAACAAGAAACACAGGCTGATCCAACACTATTGCAGTTAGCTTTCTATTTGCCCTCTGTTTATCAGATGCTCATCCGTATAGAAACCTCAGGTCACATGGGCATTTCTTGGAACCTAAAGATGTCATAATTCGGAGATAATCAAGACTTTTTCTGAATGCATCCCAGTCCCACTTTGGCCTTAAAGGAACATCAGACAAAAGAAAAAAAACATGCTTTTTCCCGGCATGGAACATCATGACAGGCTGAATGGAGTGTTAGCTTTGATTGGGGTTTTCCTTTCATGGGACATTGGCACCAGTTCTGGAATGGAAAGGAGCTGAACCAATAGAATTAGCTCCACCTGACCAATGGTAGGACCCATGTCCTCACATGTCTCACTTTGGGAATGATGGCCACTGTAACAGTTCCCAATGTCAATCACCAATGGAGCCGAGTCTGTAGACCACCACTTAGTGGAATAGAGTTGGAAGAAAAATGAGGGGAAAAGTAGTCAATTGAATAAAGAAAAACACAGGATGCAATCTAATAGGGGTATAAGCAATGTGGGCTATGGCAGGATATGTGGCACAACTGTACCAGGAGTGCAGCAAGTCTCATCTCAATGTCAGGAGTATCTCTCTCCATCTTATACTTTTCACGAGTGTTGTTTCAAGTTTTTGCTAGGCAGCAGCAAGTTGGCAAACAAGGGAGGATTATTGCTTGCTATAAGACTGAATGGCACTTCTTATCTCATTATTATTCAGTCTCCAATCTTACCAAACTCAAGAAACAACTTAGACATGGGAGCATGGAAACCAGACCACGTGATGGATTCAGCTCATCGCTTGCTCTGAACAACTTTCATGTTGTTTATGAACAAACCACAGCCTAGGCATTGATATGTGGCATCTGTCAACACCTCATGACCATCCTGGCACCTCCCCAATGCATTGA